GCCCCGAGGCCAGTCAGAAGGGTGGACCAGACGTTTCGCCTGCGTCCTAACCACTTATGATCCTTCAGCTTACATTTGCAAGAGTTTCACGCGTGGAGGGCGGGTCGCTTCTAAAATGTGGCTCTCGCCTTTACACCGCGCACATTCGTCTTACAAAATTGCAAGAGCGTCACGGATTGAGGGCTGGCCGTTTTCAAAATGTGGCTCTCGATCTTGCAACGCGCACATTCATCTTACAGATTGCAAAGGCTTCACGGATTGAGGGCGGGCCATTTTTCAAAATGTGTTTCTCGCCATAGCGCCGCGCACATTCGTCTTCCAAGTTTGCAAGAGCTTCGCGGATTGAGGGTGGGCGTTTTTCAAAATGTGGCTCTCGCCTTCAGCGCCGAGCAGATTCGCCTTCACACTTTGCAAAATTGCTTCACGGATTCAGGGCGGTTCCTTTTCAAAACGAGCTGCACGGGTTCCCATTGTTCACGTACCAGGAGCAGTGCTCTGGCACGTCAGGATCGTCAAGACGCAACTATCGGGTTGATTCGTGGCGCTGAAGTTCCGAGAATGGTGTTTTGGCACGCTTCAGGATCTTCAAACGGTTGTCTCCCAAAGGGGCACTTCCCTCAATGCAAATGAACCCTTGTAGAGGCTTAGTAAGAGAGAGAGCTCGGAAGGAGAGTTTAGGAGAGTTTATTTCGAAATCGTTGATGGGTCTCGGGCTTACACTGGTCCTCCTCCTTTTCCTCCTCCTCGTCCTCGTCCTCCTTCTCGTCCTCCTCCTCATCATCCTTCCTCTTTCTCCCACCTCCTCAGAGGGCCACGTCTCGAAATAACGTAGCACCCCGCAATTGCGGATAAGAATGAAGGGGCGGGCGCGGACGACGCGGGCGTCGAGCCGGCGGACCGCCACAGACGCCGAATGTTTGGCTTGTTCGGTAAACGTAGTTTGGGTCGCGGGTGGGTCGCGGGCTCTCCACCTCCACCTGGAAGGAATTCACAGAAACAGCCCGCCGCAGGCGCCGAAATTTTTGATTTATACACTGAACGCGGTTTGGGTCTCAGGTTCTCCACCTGGAACGAATGCAAAAGAAACCCGCCGCAGGCGCCGAAGTTTTGGCTTGTTCAAGAAAGGTGGTTTGGGTCGCGGGTGGGTCGCGGGCTCTCCACCTCTACTTGGAAGGAATTCAACACAGCTCGCCGCAGGCGCAGAAAATTTTGATTTGTACACTGAACGCGGTTTGGGTCGCGGGTGGGTCGCAGGTTCTCCATCTGGGACGAATGCAAAACAAGCCCGCCGCAGGCGCCGAAAATTTTGGGTAAATCGCGGGTGGGTCGCGGGTGGGTCGCGGTGGGTCGCGGTGGGTCGCGGGTGGGTCGCGGGTGGGTCGCGGGTGGGTCTCGGGGTGGGTCTCGGGGTGGGTCGCGGGCGGGTCGCGGGTGGGTCGCGGGTGGGTCGCGAGGTGGGTCGCGGGTGGGTCGCGGGGTGGATCGCGGGTAAGTCGCGGGTGGGTCGCGGGGTGGGTCGCGGGTGGGTCGCGGGGCGGGGCGCGGGTGGGACGACAACAACAACAAACAACAAACAACAAACAACAAACAACACACAATAAACAAACAACAACCAACAACAAACAAACAATACACAACAATCAGCAACAAAACCAACCAACCAACAACACACAACAAACATCAAACAACAACCAACAACCAACAACAATAACAAACAACAGCAGCAACAACACCAACAACAACAACAACAACGCCAACACCACCACCAACAACAACAACCAACAACCACCAACCACCAACCAACAACCACAACAACAACAACAACAGTAACAGTAACAGCAACAGCAACAGCAACAAAAACAAACAAAAACAAAAACGACAACATCAACAACAACAACAGCAATTGCAACAGCAACAGCAACAGCAACAGCAACAACAACAACAACACCAACAACACCAACAACACCAACAACAACAACAACAACAACAACAACAACAACAACAACAACAACAACAACAACAACAACAACGAGAATCCGCATCGCGGAATTCCACTTCAGCCACGCACCCAGGGACAGTGAATGACCGTTCGGTTCAGCCCCCTCACTCTGACCATCCTGGTCCCCATGGCGTGCATCTCTGGGATGCAGATCTGACGGTGCGATCGCCCAAACATTATTTCAGCTCCGCGACCGACGTTGCGGCATCCTGGGCCCTCCCCCCCTGCAAAGGCTCTCCACACACTCCCTGGTCCACTCCCCGTAGTCTCCTTCCTAAGCATGCATTCCAACACGGCCCATGAAGGACTCCTTGAGTGTCCAAGAAACCTGGACGACTACCCGTCAGGCCCCCACAAGGCCCACAAAGACCGCAAGATGATTGACGGAATACCCCTCCTGAGACGTCAACATGGTACAAATCCCGATGATGCTCGTGTATGCTTGGCATTACCCCATGTCATGTTCCAGATGGCTCCGAGACAAGCTCCGGATAAAAGGTCCACGAGGCTCCTAAAGTAGGCGCATGCGGTAAGACATCTTGCTATGAGCGCTGGCAGGCCAGTTTCTAATTTGGGTGCGCACTGTACGACCCCCCAAGACGGCCTGTGAAGCCCCCAAGACAAGCCAAGATGGCCCCAAAGCTCGCCCCAGGGCACTTTCACGAAGGCCCAGATGGCCCACAGACGCCCCCAAGACGGCCACCAAGCTCCCGAACCCGGCCCTACCAAGCCCGGAGGACCCCCGAAAATGGCTCCAAATGACCACAAGAGAACGATTACACCAGGATTCCCCACGACTTTCCAAACCTCGGTGCCCCAGGGGCTCTAATGGGATCTAAAAACTAACAACCAACTGCTGGGATCTACCAAAAGCCCTGGAGACCCCGAAGGCGACCCCAAGATAGTTACATGGGGCCCAAGATTGCCTCAAAAAGAGCGTCAAGATGGCACATGGGCCATCGGGCACCCATAAGACGGCAAGGCCACAAGAGGGCACCACATAACTTCGAGATAGCATCGAACACACCTCAATACAACCGATACAATCAGTCAAGCAAACGGAACACACACACATTGAAACCAACTGCTCGAAAATGAAATTCGCCTGTGCTGCCTCATCTAAGCGAAAACAAAGCAGCCTGATTCAAACTGATGCTGCGGCAATGGAGGAAGTGCCCGAGCTCTGGAGTCGAACCTCCGAACAACGCCGCAGAGAACTGACCATGATGCATCACTCTCGATCAAATCCCACCAGCCCTCTGGGCGTCGGTGGTTTAGGGGGTTTCCTCTTCCACCCCTCCGTCTTCCCCTTCGGGGAGGGGTTTATCACTGTTCCATATTAGTATACACCCCCTCCCCAGGCGACTGGGAGCCAACCCAGGTCCATCGGGCCCCCCCCACCATCCCTTGCACAAAAAAACAATACAAAACACACTTTGCCCCCACCATCCCTTTTAAAAACACTACAAAACACACTTTGCCTCCAAATTCGGAGCATGCGCAGCGAACCCGATGCGGCCCCCCCCACCATCCCTGTCACAAAACAATACAGAGTACACTTGGCGGCGGCGGCGGCGGCTGCGGCGGGGGCAGCGGCTGCGGCGGCTGCGGCGGTGGCGGTGGCGGGGGCGGCGGCGGCGGCAGGGGCGGCGGCGGCGGCGGCGGCGGCGATTTGGCAGCAGGGGCGGGCGGCGGCGGCGGCGGCGGCGGCGGGCGGCGCGGTGGCGGCGACAGCGGCGGACAGCGGCGGCGGCGGCGGCGGCGCGGCGCCGGCGGCGGCGGCGGGCGGCGGCGGCGGCGGCGGAGGCGGCGGCGGCGGCGCATTGGCCCCCAGTAGCTGGCCATTCAGAGACGACTGCTGCATATGCTGCGGCTCGGGCCAGGCTCGGGTGCTACGGATGTGTTGGGAGGGCGGGTGGGAGTGAGCGAGACGGCTTGCGGGCGGGAAGGGAGACTCTTGACCCTTCCCCCTACCCCCTCCCCATGGACCTGGACAGGGGGTTCTGCGAGTCGTCGGAGCGTCCGAAACGGCCTCGGCGAGGAAGCCAAAATCATTGGTTTTACTAGGGTTTGGGCCCCATTTTGGCCTCTTGGGGGGGGGGACGCTAATTAAAGCTCCCCTCTTGTTTGATCGATCTCCTCCAAGATGGCCCCAAGAAGCGCCCATGAGGCCCCAAAAGGTCCCAAGATGGCCCCAAGATGTCCCCAAGAGACTCCCAAGAGGCCCCCAGGAGGCCCCCAAAAGGATCCCAAGCGGCCCCAAGAGGCCCCTCCGAGGCACCCAAGACACCGAAGAGCCCCCCACGACCGCCAAGAGACCTCCAAGAGGTCCCAAGACGCCCAAGAGATACCCCAGGAGGCTCCGAGAAGCATCCCAGAAACCTCTGGCCCTTTTGCTTGCTCTCCCCATCCTCCGTCCTCCTCCTATGCCTTCTCCTCCTCCTCCTCCTCCTCCTCCTCCTCCTCCTCCTCCTCCTCCCCCTCCGCCTCCTCCTCCTCATCCTATTCATCCTCCTTCTCCCTACTCCCTCGTCCATCCATCCATTTTTCTCCTTCGCACCCTCTCTCCTTAACACGGTTCGGCCGTCCCCCTCTTTGCTCCCGCACTTCCCTCATCACCTCTCAACTCGACTGGACATCGTTTCTGGATGGGCTGCTGGGGATACTTTTTTTGGTCGGCGGCTCCAAGGCAACGGACAGGGAGCGGAAGCGGCGTCCGGGTCACGGTACGGGGCTAATTGCAAGACAATTCGCCGCCAGCCAGAGTCAGCGGACAGACAGCTCGCACCTGCACATGCACTGAACAAAATTAACAGAATTCGAAAGGCAAACGCACTTGGCGCAGCAGCCCAAACCACAGTGGGCAGGCAGCCGTGCCCGGTGAAAGTGAGGATGCCCCGAAGTGAGTCGCCAATGTGGCGCCAGACTTCCGCGGCCGACCTGCACAAGCCGAACGGCTGAGCGGCCGAGACCAGAGACAGTGCGCGACAGGCTGATGGGGCTACGCGAAGCGTCTAAGAATTTGACTGCTGCATGCTAGCAAGAAAAATCGGAATCGTAGCATCGGGCTGCGCATCACACTGAAAAATGCCTCCACGGCAGCAAGCTGGCAGAAGCCCTCGTCGTGCAGTGCTTCACGGTATGCTGGCTCCCCAGCGCGGTCTTGCAGTGGCCGGCTCCGGGCAACCCAGGACCACCTCGCAGAGCCCCAGCAGACGAAGGCCCAAGGCCCAATGGAGACGCTCCAGGAGAAGAGCACTCCCGGGCGGAGAGCCCAGGCACGAAGAGAGCACAAGGGTATACCCCTCGAGAGCCAGGGCTGGTCTTGGCCCTCGTGCCAGCTGCAGGACTCTCGGGCTTAACCCTCGTGCCAGCTGTAGAACATCAGGGTACCCCTCGAGAGCTAGGGTTGTCCTCGACACTCGTGAGCAAAGATCGTGTGGCGACACGGGCAGGGGGGTCTGCCGGCAGGGGCCCAAGCCCTCGATAAAGCCGCAGAGGCCAGGACGAGGGCGACGGAGGAGGAGGAGGGAGGGCCACTTCGTGGGCTGCCTGCCAACGATCAATCCGAAGGGCGATGACGAGGGGGGGGATGAGGGAGGAGGGAGGGCTACTACGTGGGCCGTCTCGTGGTGGGGCCAGGGGCCATGGGTGGAGGGCGCGCTACAGGTTGACCCACAAGAGACAAGAAGGGGGGAGACCCCCCTCTTCTCCTCGGTCCGCCGTCCAGGGATCCACGCCCTGCCTTTCCTGATCCATCGTCCCAGACCTTACCCCCCCCAAGAGACTCCCCCCGAACCGAGGAGAAAGCAAACCGAGGAGCAAGCACAAACCAAGGGGGGGGAAGCACAACAAAAACTATAACAATATAACAGCTAAGAACAAACACGTATCGAAGAATAACGAACCGATGACAACATGCAACGAATAAAACACGTAACGCGGCCTCCATAGAAAGAAAGACAACACGGACACTCAGCAACTGTGTTATCCTCTTTGAATCCTGAAGAATCCTTCGGAATCCTCCAGAGTCCTCGGAACACCTCTGGATTCCTCAGGATTCCGAAAGAACCTTGTATACAATCCTTCAATATTCATGAGGGCCCAGAATCCCCCACGATGTCTCGGGACTCCTCAAGAATCCTCATAATTCTTCAGGATGTATCGGGAGCCTGCAGGATTTCTCAGGCTTCCTCAGGGACCCTGAAAATCATCAGGATCTTCAGAACCAGCGTGCCCAGGAACACCCTCGGTTAGACGAAGCCCTTCCCGAAACCAATTCATGAAACGCGTTGGTGCTAGGCGTGCCACTTCTCATATGCAAGCCACCTCTGCTGCACAGTACCGTGCCGGTTTAAACCAGTTCCTTGGTGCTAGACGTGCTCCTCCTCCTGCACAGCAACATCTGTTAGCGAGAGAAGAAACGCCTGGCCGTCGCTCGGACGTCCATTTCCCGTGCATGTTTTCGGCTTCGTGCGTGTTTTCTTGCTGCGAAAAAATGCACACGTCCGAGCGATGCCAAGAACGAGGAAGGGGAGGGAGAGGATGAAAAGGACGGAGGATGAAGGGAAAGAGGGGGAGGGAGGAGAGTGGGAGGGCCAAGGTCAGACTAAAGCTAGCACGCGCCTCAGGAGTTCCCAAAACCCTGTAGGCTTCCGAGGGTTCCAATCAGGGTTTCTATATGATCCCAATCGGATCCCAATCGGATTCCAACTCAATTCTTCACTGTTTCTTCGAGTCGGGCGTTTCGAGGTTTGGGTCGTTCCTCGATTTGGACGTTGTCAGCGGTTTGTCTGTTTTTGCTTATTCGGTATTGTAAGTATACCTCGGTGTGAGGTTTTCTTCGATTAGGGATTTTCCTAAATTTGGATGCTTGTTCGTGATTTGTTGTTTTCCTCGGCGTGCCTGTATTCCTCGAGCTCTTTTAAGCAATAATGATAATACAACAAAAACACCATAATATCCCGAAATATTCCAATAGGACTCGAATGGGATCCAAATATAGTTCCAAACGGGGCCCTTACGCTTGCTATTCAGTTTGGGTCTTCGTAAGCTTGGATGGTGTCCTCGGTTTGATGTGCTTCTCGGTTTGGGTTATTCCTCGGGTCGGTGTTTCCCTCGGTTTGTCTTCGGCTTCCTCGGTTTAGACGGAGTCCCCCCTTTGGGGGTTGCACCCACCCCCTTCCGCTTCCGACCTTTGGGCAGGGGGGTGAAACCCCCCTACCCCCCTCGTCCCATGTGCCCAAAACCGACTGAGGGGTGCATACCCCCCTCCCTGATCCACACCCCTTCCCCCTGTCCCCTACTACCTGTCACCCTAATCCTGACACCCCAATCCTGAAATGGGGGAGGAGATGCGAAGGGGAGGAGGATGGCGAGGAGGGGGAGGCGGAAGAGGGAAGAGGGGAGGCGATAAGGAGGACAAGGAGGAGACAAGAGAGCGATGACGAGCACAGGAACAGGGACCACGACGACGATACGAGGAGGAAAAGAGGGAAAAGGCCATGGACCAGGACGAAGCGGGGGAGTAGGAGCGGGAGCAAAAGGAGATAAAAGGAGGTGAAGGATTAAGAGGGTCGGTGGAGCGCCTGGGGGGGAAGTGAAAAGGGGCGGGCATTCTCACAAGGCTCGGAAGGCCTCTGGCCTTCTGAAACATGTTGGAAGCCTCCCCCGAAGGCACGGAAACCTTCTCTGAAGACTGAAAGGCTTCTGAGACATCCCGCAACCCTTTGAGAAAGAATGTTCCCTCTGTCTTCCCACCTGGCCTCGCCGCCGAGATGTGGAGGGGCATGGAAAGGGGAGCAGCGGCCAGTGACATCGCCGCAGGTGTTTTCAATCTTGCTGCTGCATCTGCAATCAATGGTGAGGTGGGACGCACCAAGAACTACTGTTACAATAAACGATGCAGGCCCGACCATACCAAGGCGGAGCGTGCGTTCAAACATTATCCAACGACCCGTTTTGGATTCGTGGACGGCTGCGGGCCTAACCATCAAATCCGCCAGCCTCTTTAGGGCAACCGTAGACAACCGGCAACCACATCAGCAAAAACTGTTGGCGGACCGCGCAACTTTCTTGGGCCGGCGCTGGGCCCCCCTCCCCGCGCTGTTTCCGTGGCGCGCAGAGCGCGCCACCGGCGGCGCAGGCAGCGCCGCCAATAGTGTGGGTGGGGGGAAGGTCCAGGTCCGACCCAAGAGATCCGCGAGGGACGTCCCAAAATTGCGGTTACGTGCAGGCGCGTGCGCACTAAACACAGGAGGAGAGAGGAGAAAAAGGAGGAGGAGGAGGAGGAGGAGGAGAAGAAGGAGGAGGAGGAGGGGGGGGAGGAGGACGGAAGAAGGACAAGGATGATGGTTTTGGCAATGCGACCGCGCGCTCGCTCTCCTCGGCGCGAGCCCGCCAGGGCTCGCGCAACACGGCGCGCAGCAAGCAAGACTGCGCGCCTTTCGGCACCCTCGCCGGCCCATCGGCCGAAGCGGCGAAAGTTTCCAAAGTTAGCATAGCGGGGTGTGTGTTAGGTCTCGAGCCTGAATGGCTGCAGAGCCCAAAATGGGAAACCCAAAAGTCCCCATTCCCGCCGCTCATAACCTGCACTCTCAAAGGGCAAACTATACAAATTACGTGCAGGCACCCGTGCACTAAACACAACAGGAGAAAGGAGGAAGACGAGGAGGAAGAGGACGAGGCCAGGAGAAGGATGAGGATGATGGTTTTGGCAACGCGGCCACGCGCTCGCTTTCCTCGGCGCGAGCCCGCCAAGGCTCGCGCAGCGCGGCGCGCAGCAGCCAAGGTTGCGCGCCTTGCGCTCGCCGGCCCATCGGCCACCGTCAAAAACAAAACCAACAATTCAGCAAATAATGGCCACTTGCCTGCAATTTTGAGGCCCCCCCGGGCAAACGCCGGGCCGCTTCGGCGAGATCGCCGACGCGCAACAGACATGGGGCTGCTGAGTGCGAAGGGGTGCGAGGCACCAAGGAGGCGAGGGGACATGAGCAGGGCGGAGGCAAAGAAAGGCGAACGGCCCAGTCGAAGCAAGCCCGAAGCCGCCTGGGACGCGGGCGCCACGTGCGCCGACGGGCTCAAGGCCCAGTGTCCGGCGCCAGCCATCTCCCGGCTCGCGGCCCCGGACTGGAGCCGCGCCCGGCGCCTGACAGAGGCGGGCCTGGCGGCGCGGAGCCAAAGCGCCCCCGCCTCTTGGCGCGCCGCGCCCGTGGATGCGCGCGGCGGCCGGTGCCTGACCTTGGCGGGTCAGAGCGCGCGAAACGGGAAAAGGGGGGAAAAAAGTTCGCAGCCTGGCCCGCGCAGAAAAGGCGCCGGAGGCGCAAAGAGCGCGACGCCCAGGGTAGGCCATCGCTGCGCCTCTCCCCAGACGAATTGCGATGCCGCGCCCCCCGCGGCCAAAGACTCGGGCCCTGACCCAGCCTGGACTGGGAAGGGAGGGCCCGGCCCCGCGCCGCCCGAAATTGTGGCCTACCCCCTCGCGACGCCGGGGTCGCTGACAGCTCGGCGCCGACCGCCAGCTGCGCTCCTCCCTCGCGGGCGCCGGGAGATCTTGCCTCCCCTCGCCCTGCCGCTCCTCGGCTTGCCCTCGCCGTCGCCCCCCTTGCTGCCTTCGGCGGCCGCCCCGCGGCTCTCCTGCGCACGCTCGCAACCGCGCGGGGCGTAGAAGGACCCGTCGGGCTTCCTCTTGCGGCCCTTATGGGTCGGCAGCTGGCGGGGAATGGGGCGGCGGCGCCCGCTCGGGGACCGCGCCGCGCGGTCGTCGCGCTCGCGCGGGGGCCAGGTGCCCGGCGGGCGGTCCAGGTCCTCCGCCGCGGCCCCTCCTCGCTAGCATCCTGCTTCACGCGCAGCGGCTCCTTGCTCTCCTCCGCGCCTTCCTGGCTGGAGTCGGCCGGCTTGGCCTTGGCCGTCGCCTCGCATGCCGTGAGCTTGCAGTAGTTGTGCGCCGTCAGCGCCCCTGAGCTGGCCCCCCACCCCTCGCAGCCCAGCGCTCTCTGGGCGCAGATCCAGTCCCACCCCGCGCGGCGGTAGGCACTCCAGCGCATCTGCCTGGCGCAAACCTCGATGTCGGGGAACGGGGGCGCCGTCTCCCCCTCTCCGTCCGGGCCCGCGTCCACTACCGGCGGCTCTGGTGCCTACTGCGCCGCCGCCTTGTAATCGTCGCTCGCGAAGAACGTGCATCCCGTGCGCAGCGCTGCCAGCGCAAGCTTCGCCTCCTTGTGACGCGCGTTTGAACTCCGCAGCGCCATGGGCCCCCCCCTCTCACCGCTCGTCGTAGACGAGCGACGTGTGGACCACCTCGCCGCACTGAGAGAACAGAGCCTCCAGGTTCCAGGTGGCACTTCCTGACCGTACCGGGCACTTGGGACGGCATGATCACTCGCCCACCCTCCTCGCCCGTGCTCTCGGCTGCTGGCTCCGCCTCGCGCCTCCGACGGCGGCTGCGCGTGCGCGACGGCGGCCTCGCTTTGCACGTGCATGGTGCCTGCGGGGCTGGCCGACGTCGCCCCCCTGCGACGGTCGCGCTCGGGCCTGCCCTCCGGCGGGGGAGGGGCCTCCGCGCCGCCGCGACTCGCCCACCTGTCGGCGGGGCGTCCCACGCGCGCGCCGCGCGCGGTCTGTCATGGTCGCCGAGCCAGCGGTAATCTGGCCCATTGAAAGCGCCCAGTAGGTCGGCCTCGAGGGCCGCAGGCTGCAAGTCGTCGTGGGCGGCGGGTGCCTTATACCCTCCGCGGCTACTCGTGCCGCGCGGCTGCCTCCAACCATGGCCCCCGCTGGGCCCTTGGTTCCGTCGACTGCGGGTCCGGCGTCGGCGGCCCCTGCCTCGGAGGCCTGCTGCGCCCCGGCATGGGCGCGAAGCTGCTCGATCCGCCCGCCCACGCTGGACGGCGCTATACGCGGCCCCCCTTTGAGCCCACCGCGGCGGGTGATCTGCATGACCATCGCGTAGTCCAGGTTCTGGAGGCTCTTGATGGGCCAATGCGAGTTCGCGCGCCCCCTGGGCTCACGGCTGCGGCCCGCATGGGTAGAAACTCCCCAGCAAATGGGCGCCCCCGCCTGGGCGCGGGGGGCGTGGGCCACCGACCGCCACTGCTCCGCCAGCAGAGGCTTCCCGGCTGGGTGGGCCTCGACTGGCTGGGACTGATCCCCGCCGCCGGCTGCGATCTCACCACCGCCGCTCGCCGCTCCCGCCAGGCCCCCGGGGCCGGGGCCCCGGGCTGGGCCTCGGCACTTTCCCGCGGCCATCTGTCCCACCTCAGGCCCCTTAGCGGAGCGCTCGTGCTTGAAGGCGTTCAGCCGGTTAAACGATAGCCGCCTCCTGCTTCCCGCCGCGGGGCCACCGCGCGCAGATGGCGGGCATCTGAGTCGCCGAGGTCAATGGCGCTGGGTAACCGATAGCTAATGCCAGGGGTCAGCAGCGCCATCTTGACATCCTCCTCGCGTGGATGATCGCCGTTGAGATCCCGGCATATACGGCGTCGGAGTTCACGCAGCTCCTCGGCCCAAGTGGCCCGCGGCTCCTCCCATAGGCCCCGCGCCCAACTGTCCGGGAACTCGGCCGGCTCCTTCTCATTGGCCTGTTCCAGCTGGGCTCGCGCCACTCGCCGGTCTCTTCCGTGCTCGACGCCCAACACCGACTCGACCATCTGAATATCGCACCCGGCCCGCTTCAACAAAGCGGCCACGCGGGATGCGGGTCGCTGGCGCGCTTCCAGCGCGTCACCGCCAGGTAGCCCGCAGCGGTCGAAGTCCTCGTCGCGCGCTGGGATGCAATCCGCGACGCTGATATAATGAGGTCCTGCCCCGACGGCCAGCGCAGCGAATCCGTTGGCGATCACGCCAGTCACCTGCGCGGGCCACTCCACGGCCGCCACGGCCTTCAGCGCGCTCTTGGAAATGGCGCGCATCCGCTTCAGCGAATCCCTGCAGGTCCCGCCCAGCGATGGCCGCGCAAGCCTCCGCCAGGGCGTTGCGCCCCCTCGCCAAATACACGCCCAACTCATCGTCCCGACCGATCCCGGCCCGGGTGCCGCACGTCACGCTCGCCCTCGGCTGCGCGGGCCGCCCGTTCCGACGCGCGGGCGTTCTGCTCGAATGCACCCGCGATCTCTGACGCTCCGACTTCCAGGGCAGCGCCGTCACCATCTGGGCCTCCCGCGCGTTCGCCGCCAAGGGCGCCCCCGCGCAGCAGACGCCCGGGGCCTCGACTGAATGCCCCGCCCCCTGCCATCCGACCCACGTCGGGCGCATTGCTGCGCCCTCTACGCGTAGGGCCCCGGCCCCGCGTGGCAAGCAATCCCCGCGGCCGGCGCGGGCCTGCGCCTGCGCCGAACAGAATCCGCATCAAATCGCGATCCCGTCGCGGCGCGAGCCCCCTGCGCCCCGACGTCCGGCTCCGAGAACTTGCGCGCGGAAACTGGACCTTCACTGGGTCTCGTCCGCCATCGATCGCGCATTGCGGCCCGGCCTCGCCGGGCCCGGCTGAGCTCGGCCAGGGCCTGCTGGACGTCGGCGCCACCGTCCCAGCAGTGGCCCGGCGCGCCGGCGCTCCGTCCTCCTCGCGGTCTGGGGGGCGGCCCTGGGGGCGGCGGCAACGGTGGCGGTCGGGGCAAGTCTCCCTCCGCCCTCGGCGCCCCCGCGGGTGGACGCGGCCGCGCAGGGCTGAAATGCCGACGCCGGCGGCCCCCGGCGGCAGTCACCTCCGCGCCGCCCCACTGAGGCAGACGGACATGCCCCGCAAGCTCGCAGGGAACGAGATGCGACGGGACGCGCGCGCCCAGCTTGCCCATGCCCATCGGGACCTCGTAGAGCAATCGGTTGGCCCCATCGGCGTCGCACCGCCCCTCGCCCACTGGGCCGAGGCGCCGCGCGATGTCTGACGCCCGCACCTCGAACCACATGCCCTCCAGGCATGTCCCGATGATCACCAACGCGTCGCCGGACGGCCCGCGCGTCGCGATGCCCTTGCACGCGCTCAGGTGCAGATGCCAAGGCCGGGCCCCGAT